GTGCTTGTTTTCATTATTCGGATATTCACTTATAAGAATGTTCCAGTCTAGCCAGAAGTAAAATGCTATATATCATCATTTTCGGTAAGCGAATATACTCCAGAAACATACACCAATTTTTATATACTTAATATCATACTCATGTAATTGATGGTAACTTGGTTGTCTTTAAATATGCAAAACTAACCATGTAAGCCCAGCAAATGGCTCCTAAATATCAACGATAGAAAATTGAAAACTACATTTACACAAAAAAGTTATAGATGTTAGCACTTTACTTTAATAGGAAAAAATGAAGCAACCAGATTCTTGATGGGTGTGTAAACATAACTGTTAATCCAGACCATGAATACGTCTCAGCCACAAAAAGAAATGCCTTATGATACATGAAACTGAACAGGGTATTGTGCTCCGTGAAAAAAGGACAAATCCAAAAAGAGTAACATGTAATGATTCCATATTAACTCTATAAAACATCTTGAAATGACAACTGTAGAGATGGAGAGCAGACCAGTGATCCACCATGGACAGACCAGCGGTGTGGTGTATATGCAGGAGTAATATGGAGGGAGTTCCTTTGTGACTGATAAAAACAGTTTTAAATCATGGTGGTCGTGAGAGTTATACGCACCTATATACGGGATCAAATTGCATAGACACACACGTGCACATGCTCAAACACATCAACGTGCTTGTAAAAACAGTGAAAACTGAGTAAGGCCTGTAGTCTAACAGTATTGTACCAGTGTCAATTGCCATTGTGGGAAGTCTGATAAAGGGTTCAAGGGACCTTACTTTTGCAACCACCTTTAAATCTACAATCATTTCAAAGTAAAAAGCATTTAAAATTGTTTTACTGTGATTTTTAACTTTAATATAGTTCACATTTTTCTTCTTAAGTTAAAAGACAAATCTTTCTTAAACATTACCTTTTCATTGAGATAGAATTTCATATACCATAACATTCACCATTTTAAAGTGCACAATTTAGTGATTTTTAGCATATTCACAAGGTTGTGCAACTATCAGCACTATCTAATTCCAGACCATTTTCATCACCCACAAAAAAACCCCTCCATACCCATTAGCACTCATTTCCCTCTCCCCACCTCTCCCCTCTTTCCCCCAGTCCCTAATACAAAGCACAAAAGTGTTTGACTATAATGGAGTCCAATTTATCTGTTTTTTCTTTTGTTGTTTGTACTTTTAGTGTCATATCTAATTAGTGGTTACTAATTTTCTCTCTATTCAGGGCATATCATAGAAATGGAATCATATATGTTTCTTTCACTTATAATATTTTCAAGGTTCATCTGTATTGTAGCATGTACCATTACTGCATTCCTTTTTATTGTCAAATAATATTCCACTATATGGATTTACTACATTTTGTTTATCCATGAATCAGTTGATGGACCTTTGGGTTATTTCCACTTTTTTTGCTATCATAAGTAATTCTTCTATAGTCATCTGTGTACAAGTTTTTGTATGATCAATATGTTTTAAATTTGGGGTTGTTTTTTGTATATCTAACAGTGTAATTGCTGGATCCTATGGTAACTCTATGCTTAACTTTTTGAGGAACTGTCAAACTGTTTTCCAAAGTGGCTGCAGCATTTTACTATCATCAGTGCCTGAGGGTTCCAATTTCTCCACATCCTAACCAATACTTGTTATTGTCTGTTTTTATTATAGCCATCCTCGTGGCTGTGAAATCATATTATGGTGGTTTTGATTTGTATTTCTCTAATGATTAATGATTTTGAGCACTTTTTCATGTGTATATCTTTTTTGAAGAAATGTCTATTCAAATCTTTTGCCCATTTAAAAAATTCTGTTGTCTTTTAGTTGTTGAGTTATATGAGTTCCTTATATATTCTGGCTACTAGACTCTTATGAGATACATGATTTGCAAATATTTTCTCCCATTCTGTGGATTGTGTTTTCGCTTTCTTAATGATGTCCTTTGAAGCACAAAAGTGTTTGAGTGTAATGGAGTCCAATTTATTTATTTTTTCTTTTGTTGTTTGTACTTTTGGTGTCATATCTAAGAAACCATTGCCTAATCCAAGATCATGAAGTCTTACAACCTATGTTTTATTTGGAGAGTTTAATAGTTTTGGGTTTAACTTTAGCTCTTGGATCCATTTTGAGTCAATTTTTGTATATAGTATGAGGTAAGGGTCCAAGTTTATTATTTTCCATGTGGATATACAGTTGTCCCAGTATTGTTCATTGAAAAGACTATTCTTTCTCCCATCTAATTGTCTTGGCACCCTTGGTGAAAATCAATTGACCATATGGGCTTGTTTCTGTACTTCCAATTCCGTTCTATTGACATAAACAGGTTTTTATTTTACATCAATCAATTATTTTCCCTGAAACCTAACCTGGGACCACTCTGAGTAGAATCTCTGCCATTTTTGTCCATACTTATAAACTAATTTTGGTGGAGGGCCATAGGACCTCATTTAGGAAAATAAATCTGATGAATAGGTCTCTAGAAAATGAGGAATGAGACATGTAGTGGGGCATTGGAGAGAACTTTGGTTTGGAATTAGTAGGACCTGGGTTTGAATGCTAGTTCTATCTAAGATTGTGTGGTTTGGGGCAAGTTACTTAACCTCTAGGAGCTGTGGCTACTGTGAAATGGAAATGTTGACAATCTCAATCTCACAGGGCTGATGTCAGCATTAAGAGACAAAGGCTGTGAAAGTGATGGCATGGTCTCTGGGACACAGTAGGGACTTGACATCAAGCAAACTTACAGCTTGTGCATGGTCTTGTGGCTCCCTTCCTGCTGTCCTAGGGTGGTTATGTGGGATCAGGAGAGGGGACTATTCAGTGGGTGCCTGAGCCCGTTCCCATGGTTCTGCTCCTGTCTCCTAAGTGTGCAGCAGCTATGGTTCCATTCTTCTACCTTTTTTGTCAGGGGCAGTATGAAGGGTGGATGAAAAAGAGGAGAATGGCTCTTCACAGACCAGCTCTCTGGCCAGAAGGGAAAATCTTAGGTTTAAGGGAAGCCCAGTAGTGAACCACAGTAATTAGGAAGTACTGGAATCCTGTTTTATACATCTTTATTTTTATAGAAGAAACAGCATAACCACATTGTCAGTCCAGAGCGCTGTCACAATTGAGGGAATCCTGCTGGCTTGGATAGGGAAGCCACAGTTCAGGTCCCCGATTTACCTTGAGGAAGTCTCCAAATCATAAGAAAAGGGCCTGGGAGGAAACAAACACTCCTAAATAAAGCTTCTAAGCCTAAACAGTGATGGATGTCTCTAAGATTCAGGAGGAAGGTCACAGCGTTCTTTGGCTTCTTATTACTGTGATCAGAGAGTTGGCTGGAATGATTCACAGGACTCCCAAACTGGATTGCTGCCTAGCATAACCAGGGCTGATGGAGCCACCTTCTCTGCTAGCTAGCCCTCCCTGGTCTTCCCCTGCTCCTCTGATTCTTTCCCCAAAACCTGCTTTGGTTACTTGGGAGGGGATTCCATTGCTGGAACCCTAATTCATTAAATAGTTTCTGGCTTGGTTGGCCTTTCTCATCCTTGAGATCCTACCCTCTCCCCCAATTATTCCTTTCCTGTGGCTCTGCTTGAATCCTTCATGGCTTTGGAGGTTTATTAATGAGGAATCTGGCTCCTGTTATATGATTAACAGCTCTTGGGTCTCAGGGAAGCCACATTCAACTTTGTATCGTTCAAACAGCTTGTGCAGGGCACTAATGTAGAGTGCGTGATACTTGTCCACTGTCTTCTTGTCTGGATTCTCAATCTTGGGAATTGGCAGGGGTTCCCCAACTATGGAGACAGAAAGAGACAAGAATCAGAGTCACTCCCCCAATGAAAAATGCCCATCCCTCACTGGGAGCCATCTACTGCAACTCAGTATCCAAATTTCCTCCCCTTCCTTTATTCCTTCCCTCTGCTCCAGCCCCATATTGGCCCTGTTCTCCAATCACCTAATCTCACCCATGCTCAGGAGAATGAAAGAAAACTCAGGAGAGTGCTGAAGGAATGTGTGTGAATAATGGTGCTCTTGTGGCAGCTGTTGAACTCTACGCCACCCGTGAATGGCCACACTTGCTATCTGTTTAGTTGTCCTACCCAACATGCTCTCAACCACAGCCACTTCCCATCCCAGTTGTGAGCCAGGTTCCCTGGGACTTGATGGATGACTTGGGTAAGGGCTGGAGATTAAGAACTGGGTGGTCTGGAGATAATGGAAAGCTCACCAACAGTGGTAATGGGCCGTCTTAAAGGCAGGAAGCCCCAGGATCCACGAGTGATTCCCTGTCCACAGCAGCCACGGAAACTCGTTCCCAGGAATCTTTTGCATGTGTTCTGGAAGGTTTCTTGGAAGTAATTCATCCACGTGTCCTGAGGAAAGCTCACGAATTGGTGAAGGTCGTTCTCACCAAAGGAATAGCAAGGGACAATATGTGACCTGCAAAGAGATGGGTAGGAGTGTGAGCTCTCTGAGGAAGCTCCCCCGGCAAAACATTCTCCAAGGTGGGAAACCTCTCCCGATTATAGGACAAGAACCCAAGCACGCAAACATCTCCAGCCTCTTGTCCCGTTCCTCCCCACTCTCCCTACTGAACTCTAGGTGGGGAGCTGCTACACCTTGTCCTGTGATAAGAGGAAAACTAATCTCCAGAGATCTAACTACCTTCATTGCATCCAGCATCCAGAGTGTTCTTCCTAAACTACATATCTGGACATGTCACTCTTCTCTTTAAAACTCCTCCAGAGCTCTTTGCTTGGTACTACACTGCTTAGCATGGTCTTTATGCTCTAGCCCTCCCTACCTGCCTGGTTTCCTCTCTCCCCACTCTTCCTTTGCAGTCCGCTTAGCCATACTAAGTGTGCCTAGTCATCTCTCGTCTACGTGTCTTTGTACATTCTGCTTCCTCTGTCAGAAGTACCTTCCCTCTGTCTTCATGTGCCTAATTCAAATTTGCCCTTCCATACTCAGTTCCAATTTCATCCCTTTGAAAAAACTTTCTTTGACCACCTCTAATTCCCCCAGTGTGGATTAGGTAGCCCTCATCTAGTGCATCCCTCTCTTCTGCACTAACACCCCCCAGCCCTGTATTGCAGTTGTCTCCTCACCTGTCTGACTCCCCCAGTGGACAGCAAGCCGATCAAAGGCAAGAACTGTGTGGTATGTATCTTTAAATCCCTAGGGCCTGGCATAGTGCCTGGCATGCCATAGGTCCTCGGTGAATGCCTGAGTTCTTTCTCCCTTTCGATGTGCCTGGCAACTCCCACTAATGTTTCAATTCACAATTCAAATGTCACCCACCTGTGAAACCTCCACTGTGGGTCAAGGTCTTTCCATAAATTGGTGCACCCATAGCACTTTGTATACATTTCTATCATGGTGCTTCATTCATTCAATACGTATTTATTAAGTTCTATGTACTAGCACTATTTTAGGCCCTGGTGCTGTATCATGAACACATTGATATATATATTTTTTATCATCTGAGACAGAGTGTCAGCCTGTTGCCCAGGCTAGAGTGCCGTGGCATCAGCCTAGCTCACAGCAACCTCAAACTCCTGGGCTCAAGCGATCCTCCTGCCTCAGTCTCCCAAGTAGCTGGGACTACAGATGCATGCTACCACGCCTGGCTATTTTTTTCTATTTTTAGTAAAGACAGGGTCTCGCTCTTGCTCAGGCTGGTCTCGAACTCCTGACCTCAAGCGATCCTCCCACCTTGGCCTCCCAAAGTGCTACGATTGCAGGCGTGAGCCACTGCACCTGGCCTGCTCTATTTCTTAAAGCAGAGTAAATGTTCTTTGGGGGAATGTTTATCTTTGCAATTCTCACAGCATCAAGGCCAGTGCCTTCCTCGCTCTTGGTAGGTTCTCAGGGCCCTTCAGTTAACAGGTTGATATAGAGCGAAGCCTCCCTTCCCCAGATGCCCAGCCTACTAATGGGCAGAAAGTAAAAGGTCTTCTGCTGCGATTCTTTCTCTAACTTCAAGTAAGAAAAGTGCCCATTGAAATGTATCGGGAGGCCCACACACCCCTGAGGCACAGGGTGAGGTCGTAGAGAGAAGGACTCCAAATGAGGAGGAAGCCCACTCTCACAGCGTTCCCAGGGAGGGCGCCACTCTGGAGAGGGCTACAGAGGGCCTACGGCACCCTGACAAGAGAGTGCTAGAACCTGGAGACCCACCCTGTCATCAGTGCCAACTTCACAAAACCTTTACGCTGTCTGAGGAAGAGGACGGTTTCTCCAGGCCGAGTCAGGAGGACTTCGGCAGCTCCACCCACCACGATAATCATGGCATTGCCTGAGCCTTTCTGGGTCAGGATGTACTTCAGAGACGACTCGCTCACTGGGCGTGCACCTGTGAAACCAAAGAGTCAAGTGTTAGAACAAACTTGGTGCCTGAGGATGGAGTAAGGAGTTCCTCTAGGCTCTTCCTGTTGGGGACTGCGCTTCTGTTTCCCGACTACTGTTGTTTCCACCTTTAAGAGAGAGATTCAAGTGAGCTCTCCCTCAGCTCTGAGTAGCCTAGACTGCAGCATGCACCACCACACTGAGCTAATTTTTTTGTTTTTTAGTGGAGACAGGCTTTCACTATATTGCCCAGACTGGTCTTGAACTCCTGGCCTCAAGCAATCCTCCCTGCCTTGGCTCCCAAATTGCTGGGATTCCAGGCTGAACCATCTTATCTTTTGATAATAGCTATTCTGACAGGATATGGTGGTTTTGATTTGTATTTCCTTGATGACAGTAATGTTTAGCATCTTTTCATGTATTGTGGCTATTAGTATAGTATTCTTTGGAAATGTGTAGTCAGGTCGCTTCTGCATGTTTTAAAAATTAGTCCCTCCCTTTTTTTGCTGTTAAGTTGTATGAGATCTTCATATATTTTGAAAATTAACCCTTATCAGATATAATATTTTGCAAATATTTCTCCATTCTGTTGGTTGCCTTTTCATTTTGTTGATTGTTTTTTTGCTGTGTGGGCTCTGTATCTTGTTCATTGGTCCTGTATGTCTGCTTTTATGCCAGTGCCATACTATTTGATTACTGTGCCTTTGTAATATAATTTGAAATCAGGAATGTGATGCCTCCAGTTTTCTTCTTCTTTCTCAAAATTGCTTTGGCTATTCATGCACCTTTTGTAGTCCCATACAAATTTCAGAATTGTTTTTCTGTTTCTTTGAAATTTCTATAGGTATTGCATG